ATTTTACTCTCTATCTTCATGAGATACACTGTTTTAGCTCTCACTTACAAGTGAGAACTTAGGATATTTGTCTTTCTGTGCTTGGCTTATTTCACTTAGCATATGGCCTCCAGTTTCATCCATGTAGCTGAAAATAACAGGGTTGCATTTTTCATGTGACTGAATAATATGACATTGTGTATATATACTATATTTTCTTTATCTACTCACTCCTTTGATGGGCACATAGGTTGATTCTGTATTTTGGCTATTGTAAATAGTGCTGCAGTATATATGACAGTACAGATATCACTTTGATTTACTGATTCCTTTTCTTTGGATAAATACCCAGCAGTGGGATTGCTGGGTCATACAGTAATTCTATTTGTAGCTTTTTAAGCAAACTCCATACTGTTTTCCATAGTGGGTGTCCTAATTTAAATTCCCACTAACAGTGTATAAGGGTTCCCCTTTCTCCACAATATCTTTAGCATTTGTTATTTCATGTCTTTTTTGTTATGTCATGTCTTTTTTAATTCATGTCTTTTTGAAGCCATTTTAACTGGACTGAGATGATATCACATTGTGGTTTTGATTTGTATTATTTTGATGATTAGCGATGTTGAGCATTTTTTTTCATATACCTGTTGGCCATTTGTACGTCTTCTTTTGAGACATGTCTAGTCAGACTTTTTGTCCATTTTTAATTAGATTATTTGGTTTGCTGCAGTTGAGTAGTTTGAGCTCATTATTTGCTCTGGTGATTAGTCCCTTGTCAGACAAATAGTTTACAAATATCTTCTTCCTTTTGTAGGTAGTTTTTTCATTTTGTTTATTTTTTGTTTTTTGTTCAGAAGCTTTTTAGCTTGATATAATCCCATTTGTTTATTTTTCTTTTGGTTGTCTCTGCTTTTGAGGTCTTACACACAAAAAATATCTTTGCCCAGATCAGTGTTTTGGAGGATTTCCGCAATGTTTTTTTTGTAGTAGTTTCATAGTTTCAGGTCTTAGCTTAAAGTATGTAATCCGTTTTTATTTGATTTCTGTGTGTGGTAAGAGATAGGGAATCTAGTTTTATTCTTCTTCATATAGTTATCCAGTTTTCCCAGCACTATTTATTAAAGTTTCTATCCTTTCCCCATTGTATGTTCCTGGTAACTTTGTTGAAAATGAGTTGGCTGTAAATGCATGGATTTACATTTTGGTTTTTCATTCTATTCCATTGGTCTATGTGTCTGTTTTTATGCCAGTCCCAAACTGTTTTGGTTACTATAGCTTTGTAGCAAATTTTGAAATCAGGTAGTTTGATGCCTCAAATTTTGTTCTTTTTGCTTAGGATTGCTCTGGGTATTTGAGTTTTTTTTCTGGTTTCATATAATTTTTGGAATTTTTTTCTATTTATATGAATAATGTTATTGATATTTTGGTAAGGATTGCATTAAATCTGAAAGTTACTTTCAGTAGTATTGTCATTTTAATAACATTAATCTTTCCAGTTCATGAACATGGAATATCTTTCTATTTTTGCCTCCTCCCAAATTTCTTTCATCAGATTTTTATCATTTTCATTGTATAGATCTTTTGCTTCTTTTGTTAGATTGATTTTTAGAAATTTTATATTCTTTGTGTCTATTGTAAATGAGATTGCTGTTTTGACTTTTTTTTCAGATTGTCCACTGTTGGTGTATATAAATGCTACTGATTTTTGTATGTTGATTTTATATCCTGCAACTTTACTAAATTAGTTTATTAGTTCTAAAGTTTTTTGGTGGCATCTTCAGATTTTTCTAAGTATAAGATCATGTCATCTGTGAACATTGCTCCTTAAGGTACAGTACAAGTTTAAACAAATTTTAAATAAATAGAAATCATATAACATATCTCTTCTGACCACAGTGAAATAAAAATAGAAATGAATAGCAAGAGGAACCTCAGAACATACATAACCACATGAAAATTAAACATGCTCCTGAACGACCAATGGGTCAGTGAATAAATTAAGAACACAATTCAAACTTTTTTTAAACAAAGGAAAATATAAATGCAACATACCAAAATCTGTGGGATATGGCAAAAGTTTTTAACAATAAACACCTACACCCAAAAAGTACAAAGATATCAAATAACAAACTAAAAAACTAGAAAAGCAAGAACAAACCAAACTCAGTATTAGTAGAAGAAAATAAATAATACAGACAGATCCCAGCAGAAGAAAATGAAATTGAGACTACAAATTAGTATAGAAGGAGATCAACAAAATGAAACATTGGTTTTTTTTAAAAAATAAACAAACTGACAAACCTTTAGCTAACTAAGAAAAAAAAAAAAGAAGATCCAAATAAATACAATTAGAAACAAAGAAGGAGACATAACAACTGAGACTTCAGATATACAAAAAATTATTAGAGACTATTATGAATACCTATATGCCAGCAATTTGGAAAACCAGGCCTAGTGCAGTGATTCACATCTGTAATCCCAGCATTTTGGGTGGCTGAGGCAGGAGGTTTACTTGAACCCAGGAGTTCAAGACCAGCTTAGGCAACATGGTGAGATCTTGTCTCCTCAAAATCTTTCTTTAGGTGTTTTGTGGTTGTGAATAGTGAGCTTCTTTTCAGCAAACATTTATTAGTGGTTATATCTGTCCAGAATGTTTTCTAGTGTTAACCTCAGCCTGAGACCATTTTTTAAATGTTAATTTCTCACCTTGTAAGCTTTGGATCTGGCAGATAGTGTACCTTTGAGCTTCAATTCCACATAAGATTAGGACTGAGATTGCTAAATCTCATTAGAAATGTTTTCCCCTCAATTCCTTCGTTTTTGAATTGTTGTGTTGCAAGCTGATTTTGTCTAGTTCATTTTATTGAATTCATCCTTTCTATGAGGTTGGAGTCCTCCAGGGTCTTAGCTTTATGTGAGAGTCTAGTTACAGCTTCTCATTTGTCACAGTTCTGTTTTATACCTGTTGTCTTGGATATTGATAAAGCCTCCTCTCCCTCTCAAAGTAATTTCAGTTTAGATAACAGACTATGTGAGCTTTCAATGTGAGCAGGGATGTGCTTGGTACACTATAGGAAGAGAAAAGCCAGACTGGCTAATCTGTAGAGGGAAGAGTACCTGGGGAAGAGCTCAAGGAGGATAATAAGGGTCAGCTATGTTAGGGAAGCGTTCATTCCAAATCTGATCAGAAGTCATTAAGGAATTTTAAACCAAAGGAATTTCAGAAAATTCTGGCTGCTTCATTTTTTCTCACCTGACTACCATGAAATATCCCCTGTGCCTTGTATAGTTTCATGGTCAGTCAAGGATTTGGGCAAAGATTGTACTCAGTTTTAGGACTCACCCTCTCAGTGATTCTCTTGTTTCCAAGACCTCCTCATGGATTTTCAGCTAATCTTTTAGTTCTGAGATTTTCCTCTGATCCATTAAGCTAATAAGTTTTCAGATTTCTGCCACCTGAGTTGTGATGGATTGAGGAATTTCTTCAGTTTAGGTTGCAGCAAACATTATCTGGCACAGTTCTTTCATTTAGTAGACTAATACTTTGTTGTTTCTGCCCACTTTTATTACCAGCCTTGTTTTACCGCTACTTTGGCCTGGAGCTATCCTACTGTGTACAAACAGCAGCCATCAATTAAATAAACAAATAATATACTCTAAAAAAAAAAAAAAACTGGGCCCCACGGTTTCCCTCATTTGAGTATGGTATAATAGTCAGCCAGGATTTTGTGCAGAGTATTTGCATTACCCAGATTTGGGGGCCCATCCCTTGCTTTCAGGAATCTCACCCCTAATATTCCACATTCTCTCTCGCATTGAGCTAGTCATGCCACAGGAATTTTAGGTTAGGGAAGAATCTCCAGGGAAAAAAAAAGTCACCGACTTATAATTCTAATCTAGTGCTGCTGCTATCTTTCAAGGCTTAACTCACCTTAGGTTGCTGTCTGCTTTCATCCACTCAACGCTTTCAAGTAGTATAAATATATACAGTTGTTTAGTTTTTATAATTTATAGCTACAGGAAGATGGACCCCAAAATTTATTCTGCTCTTATCAAAACTTGGAACTTTTATTGCTAGTTTAATTTGTATTTAGATTAACAAATTTGAAAATTTTCTTTATGTTTATTAATAATTTTTATCCATTTCATAAATTTGCTCTTTACCCAGTTTTCTACTTGTGTGTTTGTTTTATCATATTTATCTATAAGATTTCATTATTTATTGAAGATAATAAGCTATTAACCCATCAGAAATATTGTTATTTGGGGGCTCAGATGAAATGTATGTTAAAATATAAGGTTTTGGTTTTAGAGTGATTTTTTTTTTTTAGTTGAAGTCTCACTTTGTGGCCCAGGCTGGAGTGCAGTGGCACACTCACAGCCACCCCAGCATTGACCTGCTGGGCTCAGGCAATCCTTCTACCTCAGCCTTCCAAGTAGCTGGAACTATAGTAGCTACCATGCCTGGCTATTTTTTTTATTGATTGTAGAGATGAGGTCTTGCCAAGTTGCCCAGGCCGTTCTTCAACCTGTGGGCTCAGGCAATCCCCTCACCTCACCTCAGCCTCCCAAAGTGCTGGGATTACAGGCTTGAGCCACCACGCCCAGCCTTATAGTGATTTTTTTATACCTGCTTTTTATGTTCACATAGGATCATCCAGCAATAGAGACAAGGTAAGGAGTTTGTTTTTAGAGTGATATCACTGCACAGAGAAGAGAATTCTTGTCTTTTTATATGGCAAAGTTTTGCGTAAGTTTGTATGATGTGTGTGGAAGTGTGGCAGTGATATTCCTAAACAACACCTTGTCAGATATATTATCTTCATATTTATAGAAGTTGATCATCATGGAATTATTTCTCATTCATAACCATTTGCCTTACTCACCAGTAACTACTATTAATAGACTGCTGCTTGTTTGCGTAAGAGGAAATATTGCAAGATAATTGATATTTGCAAAGGGCACTGTGGGCCTTCACCAGAACTCTACTGAAACATTTTTCTCTCTCTTTTTGTCCTTAGGAGTACACTATTGATGTATTTTTTCGGCAGACATGGCATGATGAAAGACTGAAATTTGATGGACCCATGAAGATTCTTCCACTTAACAATCTCCTGGCTAGTAAGATCTGGACCCCTGACACCTTTTTCCACAATGGCAAGAAATCGGTGGCTCATAACATGACCACTCCCAACAAGCTGCTCAGATTGGTGGACAATGGAACTCTCCTCTACACAATGAGGTCAGATGGTGGTGGCCCTCACCCAAAGTATATTGGTGGTAGGACTGGGCTTGAAAGCAGTATGTTTTAGGGTATACATAGAGAATTCTGTCAAGTGTATGGATTAGAAATACACACATATATACATACTGCCTAACACATTTACATGTGTAGATACAGACATGCATATTCTAGATAAACATAGAAATAGTAAGTTGCACAGAGGAACATTTTGAGACACACAGAGCTATATGTTCACGATGTATAAATATACGCATGCTCAAAAACAAGTGAACTAGCACACAGGAACATACATATTCAAAGACACTTAAATACACAAACTGGCAAAAACAAATACACAGGCATGAACACTGATCATAAGAATAGGCTAGCTTTAACCGCAGCACCAAACTATCCCTATGATGTATAGCTGTGAGAATCATATGAGATAATGATGAGTATTTTTTGTAGCATATGGTGTTTTATATATATATGAATTAAAAATTACAGTCACATTTATTTCATGCCACATTGCCCTGAGGATACTGAGGAGTTTAATGTAAGTGAACTTTCAAAAAAAAAAAACCAAAACCTTAAGATTATGTCTTGTAAACACCACACACACACACATTGGTATTGAAATTTTCATAAAATATGAAATATATTTTGTATTTTTCTATCTTCCAATGCATAAAAACATCACAATTTTATCTATTTCATGAATCATTATTGTTATTAGAGTTGTTAGCTGTTGAATGTTGCTGTTGAAAAATAACTTTTAAAGCATTTTAGTGCAATAAGGTTCTTCGCCCCAACACTAAAAAACACTTTCTTGATTCTTGCTTTTGCTGTTTATGCTTTTACTTGTTCCTCTGCTGTCAGTTGTCACTTCCTGAAGTTTCTTTCCACATTAATGAGTGTTGATTTTGTGTAACTGAGAGCGAACCTTTATTGAAAGGATAGGTGCAGTTCTTCAATGTGGGTTCTATGTCTATTTCAAATTGGTGTATCTGTTGTCTTGCACAATGAAACTCAAATAGTGCATGCCTGGTAGATGTGTGTTGAAAAAATGAAGTGTATTTGCCTTTATCACTTCCAATTCGCTATTGGTGCTTTTCCTACAGTAATTTGGAAGGCAGAAAGATGATCAAGGAAGAAAGGATAACAAATAAATACTTAAAAGTTGGATGAGAGTGAAGGAGATGAGAGACTAGAGGTGAAATGAGCATAGCGAAGAAAATGATGAAGCAAGAAAGTGGATAGATGTGAGAAGAAGGTGGAGAGGGGAGGGGAAGGCTGTACTCATATATATGGGGCACAAAAAAAATGTATACGCATTTTAAGTATGATGTTGGCAAATGTGTATACATTTTTTGGCACCGTGTGTGGGTGTATGTGTGTGTGTGTGTGTGTGTGTGTGTGTGTGTGTGTGTGTGTTTCTTCAGATTTTATTTATATTTTTATATATCTATATAAAATTTATATACATATGGGATTTGGGTGAAGGAAAGCAAAAATATGAAATGAGAGAAAAAAGAGTAGGAAAGTTGAGAAGGTAAAGGATAAGATGAAGTAAGAAGATGTAGTAGATGAGAAGAAAAGACATAGAAAAGTAGGGGAAGGGATACGGGAGGAAATGAAGAAGAAAAAGGAAAATTGTGGATGGAAGAAAAACAGATATTCATTCATTTATTCATTGACCAAACATGTTTTGGTTTCCTAATATATATGTGTCCCTAAACTAAATTCTGGGTATGCCAACATTAATGAGACATGGTCTTTGTCATTACGACAATCACAATATAATAGGAGGAGACTAATTCGATAATTACAAATAATATTAGCTAAAATGCTAAATATGTGAGTAATTAAGGGAGGAGAAAGGAAAGTCATCTAACTCATTCTTTTGGGCTAAGTGGAGAAAAGAGTCCCTGGATGAGGCAACTCCTGGACTCCTGATTATTGATGTTAGTATTAGTTTTAATAGTATTAGGTATGTCAAATGTAGTCAAGACACTAGTAGGTAGGGGACAGAGGGAAGAGAGGGAGGATATTCTAGACAGTAAAGAACAAAAAAACAGGCTGTTGTTTCATCTTGGTGAGTGTTTCCTTTGCTGTGCAGAAGCTTTTTAGTTTGATAAAAGCTGCATATCTGATAAAAGGTTAATATACAAAATTAATAAATCATACAACTCAGTAGAAAAACAAATATCCTGCTTAAAAATGGGCAAAAGTCCTGAATAGACATTTCTCCAATGAAGACATTAAAATGGTGAACAGGTATATGAAAGGGTGTTCAATGTCACTGATCATCAAGGAAATGCAAGTAAAACCACTATGAGATACTACCTCACACCAGTTAGGATGGCTATTATCAAAAAACAAAAGGTAAAATGTTAATGAGGGTGTGGAGAAGAGGGAACTTTTGTGTTCTGTTGGTGGGACTGTAGATTGGTACAGACATTAAGAAAAACAGTATGGAGGTTTCTAAAGAAATTGAAAATAAAACTTGTTTTTGACCAAGTTAAAAAAAACAGAAAACAAAAACAAGTGAGCAGTTCCAGAGAATGGGATGACATTTTAAGCAGGAGAATGAGGTGATCGGTTTTTTATTTTATATGTGGCACTGTAATTCTGTGTGAAGAATGCATTTGAAGACTGGGATTAGGGAAAATAGGGAACAGCTGAAACAGTCTAGATGACAAGTGATGAAGCTCTAACTTAGAGCAGTAGATTAAGATGGAGGAATGGAGGAAATGGGAAGTAAATACAGACAACTTCAAAATGACATAGGACAGGTTGTCAGAGTAGTAGATACCCAAATAACATGGGTGGATGATGGTGCTACAAACCGGAATATAATATACAAAAGTTATGACAAATTTATATAAGTATGTGTGGTTAATTTTAGACAAGATAAGCTTAGGTGATTGTAAATTATCCAGAGAGAAAACTTTAACATCAGTAGAGTTTTCAAGCCTTAAGATCGTGAGAAGGTAGACACAGGTTACAAATACAAAATTTACTATTGCTAGTATATTGGGACAGATTGAAACCAAGAGAACTGAAACCAGGAAAGGATGTAGAGTAAGAAGAATATCACACCAAGGATCCAAGGAAGGGAAAGTGAGGGAGATGTTAATAGAACCACCAGTGTGCAGTATCTTGAAAGCTCAGTGTGGTAATCAATACTATCACTTTCCAGTATTTTCAGTTCACCTCCATCTTGGCACATGGAACTGATAATATTGAGCCTTGAAGTTAGATGTGAACAAATGACTTGCTTTGGCTAATCAAATATGAGTGTAAATAGCATCTGTAAGTTCCCAGGGAGAATGGAAAAGCCTTTTAAGAGCCAGTACACCATTTGCCATGTTGCCTTCCCCTGACCACAGTGAGTAGCATTATGTCAGGTGGTCTTGGTGCCATTTTTCTATTTTTCTTATTGAGGATGGCATAGAAGTGAGCACCTCCCCACCTAACCAAAGCTAAACAGATAGTGTGAGAAATAAACCTTTACTGCCTTAGGACACTGAGTTTTTGGATTGTTTCTTACCACATATTAATCTAACCCATTCTGATTAATAAATCAAAGGAGTAAAGTGTTTCAAAAAGATGAAAGTGATCAATAAAAATACCAATATTAACATAGCACATTATTTAGAAACAATATAGTACTTACAATGTTCCAGGCACTGTTCTACACTCTACTTTTGTAATCTTCATAATAACTCTGTAAGATAGGTATTCTTATCCCCATCTTACAGATGGGAAGACTGAGACACAAAATAGGTGAGAAAAATTTCCAAGTTCACTTAAGTAGTAGATGGTTGAGCCAGCATTCATACTCTGGATTTTAGCTACAAGTTTATGCTCTTTACTATTTATTTACATATGTTTACATTGTTGGCTATAACAAAAAATCAAGTAACATAGAGACTTAAATGTGTGTATTAGTTTTGTACCATGGAGACATTAGTGTTCTTTACATACACTGTTTTAATAGAGTGCCTAGTTAAATAAAAACATTTTAGGAGCTGGAGTCGAGAGAGTGGAGACAGCTCGGTGGCTCAGCCTGTAATCCCGCGCCTTTGGGAGGCTGAGGTGAGTGGATTGCCTGAGCCCGCGGGTTCGAGACCCGCCTGGGCAGTGAGACCTCTTCTCTACAATAAAAATAAAAAAATCAGCCGGGCGTGGTAGCGCGCGCCTGTAATTCCGGCTACTCGGAAGGCTGAGGCGGAAGGATTGCTGGAGCCCAGCAGGCGAGGCTGCGGTGACCGGGAGCGGCCACTGCACTCCAGTCTGGGCGACCGAGTGAGACTCCAACCCAAAAAAAAAAAGAAAATGATAGGGAGGGGTTTGTAATATCTGCATTCAGAGGTAAAATAATTGCCTTTCTTTTCAACAGAAAGACTGGCATATATTTGTGATATAGCACAATGGAACCAGTAGAAAGAAAACAATCAAAGATACAGTAGAAATAACATTTTTTTATGATGGCAAGTCCCCAGAGAAGACCGTTGAGGGGGTGGTTTCAAAACTACAAAGCTTTACTTGGAAAGGAAGAGGAATGCCTCTTCTCACATTGCATGAAAGGTTATGAAGTGAAATTAAAATGTTGAAAAGAAGGTGGAAAGGCTAAGGCAGAAGAGAGGTATGAATGGTTGTAACGTATGAAGGAGAACTCGAATAGAGCATTAGTGGAGGGATAGATGGAAAAGAGGCATGCCTGGAATGCAAAGCAGAAAATAGGAGTTTGTAGAGGGGATGAAAGTGGACATAACTGTGGAAAGACATAATTGTGGAGGGACAGAATGATAGGGGGATATTGATGGATAGAATACAGGCAGCAAAGGGAAGAGACGCTAGAAGACGTACAGAGAGCTAGGTAAGAAAGGGATTGTACAGCGTAGAGATTGCAAATAGTAGGAGAAAGAATAGAGAACCAATGAGGAGAACAGGATAGAGGAGAAACTGAACAATAAAGGGGAAATAGGACAGAAAATAGTTAGAATTTGGAA